GCTGTCATTGTTCTCAGGTCAGAGAAGCAGAGCATTAAATAGGAAGTGCACGCAGTGGCTTAACAATCACCATAGTGACCCAGGCTGCCGCTATGGGGCCCGGGGCACAGTGGGGCCCGGCCAGATGCCGTGCGGGCTGCCTGGGTCGCTATGGGATCCTCTGCTGGTGGCTTTCACTGGCGGCTAAAGACGAACACGCCGCTGTTCAGATCATTGACAGTAATCTGTGCAGCAGCGCGTTCCTCTCCACAGAGTCAATGAGAGCCATCAGCGGCAGTGGAGGAGGAGGCGGGGCCCGGTGATGAAGAAGGAGGCGGGGCCCATCAGCGACCGTGGAGGAGGCGAACAGGTAAGGATTTCGACCAGCCCACCTGAGGGTGACCCTGCATAGCCCACCATAGAGGGTCCATGGTGGGCTCAGCAAGTTCACCCTCAGGTGGGATCTCAAGTGGGCTCTGCAAGGGGTATAACTAGAAATCACGGGGCCCCATACAAAATTTTGCTATGGGCCCTGTGATTACTAGTTACGCCCCTGACAGCACGTCTAGCATGCAGTACCATGTGCTAGGGGCGCTGTGCTGCCATTCATTACATGGCACCCCAATGCACCTCCTAGTGCTGCCTGTGCTGCAGTAACAGGTGCACTGTACTATAGCGTGCATCAAATGCACAGTAACATGCACTTAGACCAACCTTCAGTGTGAACGGGTCCCTATTTTGAGGGTGGAGGAATAGGCCAAAATGCTTTTTACTCGCTCACGCAGGCTTCTTCCCAGTTGCACAACCGGTCCTCTGAAGTTGCATTCCTTTGCCGCTCCACTGTTTGCAGGCACTCCAATGTTATTATGTCATGCACAGCCCGGAATGTCAGAGCGCAAAGGAGATCGCTGGCTGCCGGGCAAGTGAGGGATATAGTAAGTAGAGCTGCTTGTTTTGTTCTCCCTAGAAGAAAAGCTAGCATTTATTTCTTGCAGTGCGGACACTGCAAGGGTAAATTTTAACTTCATGCGGAGTTCAGCAACTATGTCACCAGGAAAATAAAATTAAGTAGAGGTAACCTATAATATAAAGAACAGATCTTATCTGAGTCCAATCTTTGCAATTTTGCAGTCTATAGCCATCGATGGTATGTGACACTTCTGGGTGTGTGGTGTGCTGTGTCCTGTGCTGCTATATTACTACAGGGTGGCAGCGTTGGATACTGCAAATAGTGAATACTGGTGTCTCCCCCTTTTGCCAGGTAAGTATTAATCTTCTATTTGACAGGTTGCCATCACTGCATTCCTTTTCCCTTTAAAAGTACTTTACAAATCCTCTGCTTACATCACACTTTTTTGTTCCTTTCCCTAATTCTGCCGTATTAAAAACACTCATACCTGGAAATCCCTTCTGACTGGTATTAAAAAAAAATCTTCTATGAGTCTACAACTAATCGTTTCTCTGGAAAAGTAATAACTGTTATTTCCTAGATATGATATTGATTGAAATGTAAAAATCAAATGTATCGGCATCGCTTCAAATTCATTCCAGCACAGATAACATTGTATTCTAAGAGCCCATTGTTTACAGACCATGTAATCGTATTGGCAGTCAACAGGGAGTCATCTGTAAGCCTCGGTTCACGCCTCTGTGGTGCGACATCGCACGTGTGCTGCAACATGTTGTTACATGCACCACCGTGTGTTGTGGTAGGCAACCCATTTATTTGAATGGCCCATCTATCGCATGTAAATCACACCAAAGAAAGGCATGACCCTTTTTTTAAATTGTGCCACACAACAACGGATGGTAATAAGTTACCATGTATTAAGGTGTGATGCAACATTAAGAAATATTGACACCGCAGAGTAGCAAACAGTGTAACATACGATCTCATGTGATGGCAGAACACATGCACATGCATTCTTACATTACATAGATGTGAACGGGGGCTTATTATTAAAGGAAAATGTACTGGAATGTAAAGGTATTATATTCTGAAACTAACCAAATACATTACTATGTAATAGTAAATTCTCCTTCAGACCTACCAACAAGTATGTAGTGCAAGTGCCTCCCTGGTTGGATCCAGATGGGTTGGGTAGTTCAGATAGGTGCTCATACTACATAGATTTGGTAAATGTAAAGTTTCTTGTACAGAGATTGCAGGTCAAACTGTGACATCTGTGGTGAGTCTTAGTGTATTATACATAGACTATACATGACTTAATCTTAAAGAAAACACATTTATTTGTGGCTTTGGGAGATAGATGGACAAGTTAGGAAAATATCACAACCAAAGTGCAGCAAACATTGAAGTGGGCTCAACACACAACATCAGTTATGACAAAGGTAGTCCCAGGACGTTGGACCTGGATTTTGGAGGGTCTACCAATGTCCCTGCATATTACAATACCTCTGAGATGGGATTGGGGAACACCTTATATGACACTGTATGTAGGCAAAGGACTTTTCCCGGCTACACCCCCAATATAAGACCACAAATATTTAATACAAAGCAAGATTAACCCACAAAGGCTTTCTCACAATTGCTTTTGTTTTATACCAGCTTCTGGATGAAAGGTTTAGTATAATACTTCTGGTAGTTCAAAAGAACTTTTTTATAGCAGTTTATAAATCAAACCAAAAGGGGGAAAAACAGAGGAGGAAGAATGGAGGAAGAAACAAGGACAGTTGGAAGTAATCATTGCTTATACATCAGTCAAGAAGAGGGACAACAGAGGAAGAATGAGGGACAGCAGAGGAAGAATGGAGGAAGAAAGAGGGGCTTGGTTCTATAAGAGGGACAATGAAAAAAGAAAAGAAGAAGAAAGAGGGACTTGGTTCTAAAAAAAAGGACAATAGTGGAAAAATGGAGGAAGAAAGAGGGACTTCAGAGGACAAATGGAGGAAGAAAAGGGAACTTGGTTCTAAAAGAGGGACAACGGAGGAAGAATGGAGGAAGAAAGAGGGACTTGGTTCTAAAAGAAGTATAATGGAGAAAGAAAGAGGGACAGCGGAGGAAGAATGGAGGAAGAAAGAGGGACCTGGTTCTAAAAAGAAGGATAACGGAGGAAGAAAGAGGGACAGCGGAGGAAGAATGGAGGAAGAAAGAGGGACTTGGTTCTAAAAGAGGGACAATGAAAAAAGAATAGAAGAAAGAGGGAGTTGGTTCTAAAAGAGGGATAACGGAGGAAGAATGGAAGAAAAAGAGGGACTTGGTTCTAAAAGAGGTATAGCAAAGGAAGAAAGAGGGACAACGGATGAAGAAAGAAGGACAACAAAGGAAGAATGGAGAAAGAAAGAGGGACTTGGTTCTAAAAGAGGGACTGCAAAGCAAGAAAGAGGGATAATGGAGGAATTAAGAGGGACAACAAAGGAAGAATGGAGGAAGAAAGAGGGACTTGCTTTTTAAACAGGGACACTTGAAAGTAAACATTGCTCAGTTTATACATCAAACCAAAAAGAAGGATACTAACAGAATAGTGGGAAGAAATAAGGATTTGGTTCCAAAAGAGGGAAAGTTGGAAGTCTTCATTGATCGGTTTATACATAAAGCCAAAAAGAGGGAGTACAAAGTAAGAAAGAGGGACTTAGTTCCAAAGGCGGGATAGTTGGAAGCTAATCATTGCTCTTCACAGAGACATTTACATCAATCTGGCCCGGGGAAGCTTACACTCTTCTATCCCCCTACACTCCACAAGCACACATTCTGGAACCTGTGTCAATCAGTCTACCAGCAATAAGTCTTCTTATAGAGAACCCATACAAAGTCCATGTCAATAGTATCCCTGGTGGAGTTCAAACCATAAGTCCAGCACTGCAAGACAAGAGAGCTAACCACTTAGAAACTAACCTGCCCAATATAACCACTACCAGGTCAATTTGTAAAAGCATAACTTCCTGTGTAAAATGAGTCACTGTACTGGGAAACTACAAGTCTCAGCGTGCTCATCACACTAAGCCCACTAACAGCTAAATGAGATGTTATTTTTGTGCCATTGTAATGAATAGAGTAGCTCATGTGGCATGCTGGAACTTGCATTCCCTCAAATTTCTAAGCGGCACAGTGTATTTTTTTTCATCGCAGCCCTGGGGTCTTGTGTTCATGTACCAGGAGGTTAACTTCATGGAGTTTTGAATGCGGTTCCCTTGCTTCAGAAATTGACTCCAGAGCTCTAACTTCTACCATAATATACTGGGTGCTCACTGTACATCTACACCAGGGGTAGGCAACCTAAGGAATCCAGCTGTTGTGGAACTACAAGCCCCAAGACTCTGACAGCCAGAAGCATGACTCCCAGAAGCAGAATGGGCTTTGCAGGGATTTGAAGCTGGAGTGCCCAGGTTGCCTACCCCTATTCTAAGGGTAGAGAAGTAAGCCAAAATACTTACCTACCACTGATCTAAAGAATTTATAACTGTGACTGGGACATTCAGATGTAAGCCCAGGGAAACTACTAAAACTGTTATATATATATACACACACACACACACAGTATATATAAATGAAATGAATAATAAGTAGTCCCGGTTCTGGATTTCGTGGTGCCAAGGCAATGAATGAAGTAGCTGCCGAGGAGTGCTGGAACTTTTAGTTCCCCCAATAGCTGATGCTACTCCACTGTCACAAATCTCCTCCTGATTCTAATGTATGGGCTTTAGTCTCAGAATTAGCACTTTGCACATGTTGCTAAATACATGATCCCCCTGGGAATGTTCAATGCAATGTTGCAGCAGCTTTACGCTTAAGACACTTTTGTAGTTGAATTGACCTTCTGCTCCTCAATTATCCTGCGACATGCTGCCAGTGTTGGAATGCCTTGATGCCCCTGCTAGTTGTCTGTTAAGCAAATAATTTTTTTCTGCCTGAACACATACGAAGGGTTATCATGAGCATAATTGAATCATTTACAAGCCCCCCCCCCCTTCTCTATTGCTGGCAAGCAGCTCCCTGAAACAGACCCAAGACACAATAAAATAAGTGACGCAGCCGGATAAATGGGATGAATTCCCCAAACACTGACCTTAGGACAATGAGGGATCACAGCAGCTTTTGTCTTGTAGAGAGAGGTGACCGGTCTTCGATGACAGACACCAATGTGCTTCCCAGCATCTCATGTGCAGGCTGGAGCGGAGCGCTGGGTAAGGACGGAGCTTCTGCGTGTCTGTACACAGGGGGGTGTGTACTGCGGATGATTGACACCGCTTTTGACGCACCCCGTTTAATAGTACGCTCGTCTGTAGTTACACATGGAGGGGCTTAAAGTGGATCGAAAACCCAACCACTAAAATCTCATATTAGCTTTAAAGTTGTTTTCCTTTCTTATTTTTTAAATCTGCAGCTTTTATTGTTATGGGGTGACAATTGTCTCCCAATTGTGCTCCTGCATTGTCATAGAGGCTTCCCATTGGGGCTGCATGCTGCCGTGCCGTTGTCACTATCTGGAAGCCGGTCCAGAGAAATGATGTACAGTCGAAAAGGGAGAGCATGTAGACAGGAAGTGGCTGAAAGAGGCCAGAGGAGATCAGTAGCAAAACAAATCAGTATTTATGGAAAAAAGGTAACTGTTTGATACCTCGTGTTTTATTAAACGAATTGTCTAGTTAGGGTTAGATCTGCCTTTAAAGCTAACGAAAGCCAAACTTTTTTTTTTTTTTTTGCTTTACTTCTCTTTTTGGTCACAGTGGTACATTCACTAATATACTCCTGGGACCTACAGTCAATAAAGTCAAGCTGATTTCAGAGTGCCACGAATGAGGATACCTCCAACAAATAGTTATATCTGTCAGTATCAAAGAGATTGAATCCCCCGTGTAGTCCCCCCTGTGTAGCTCACATTTTACACTTGTGCTGCCGTCACTTAGGAAGCAGTGGAGACGATCCAAGGGTTTGATGACTCCTACTTGTGTGGGAGGAGAGCACTGTGAGCGGCCGGCGTCTCTCCTCCCACACCGCTCAGCATCCTATCACAGATCAGGAGAGTGGTGTGCGGGCAGAGACAGCTCTCAATGCTGTCACAGCGTGTCAATAAGGAGAGCGGGTACATACACAGTGATAAGTGATCGCTGATTGTTTGTAAATAATTGAGGACATGGTATGGTTACTATATCCTCAATTATGAATGAATGGGAAGTGATCTACATCTACACTCAGTATAGAGAATTCCTGTTCATTTATAACTGGGACTACAGAAAAAGAGATTGTGTCTGAAAACTATTTTTCTATTTAATTTTTTTAGTTTCAAAAGATTTTTATTTTTCACAAATACAAAGCATTTAGTGCATGCACTCAAGCATAGTGCGCATGTATGGATAACAGTTCATACATAGATAATGATCATAACAGGAAATATGTTCATCAAACATGGTACTCTATTGCGATCACCTGAACTATATGCAGAAAAGGTGAGAATCTGTCCTATCGGTGATCCCAACAGGGGTCTTGGAAATAAGACATTTAATAGTAGGGAAGGAAGGAAAGGGAAAAAAAAAAATTCTATTTTAAAAGGGAAATATCAGGGATCTGTTTAGACATCTAATATTTCCCCAAAGCCCCTAACAGAAAAGTAAAAAAATAAAAATATTTAATAAACATAAATAAATACAAATAAAATATGAAAAAATTAAAACGTTTGTGATTTTTTTTTATTATTAAAATAAATTAGAATAAAAAACATTTTCGGTTTCGGCCTGACATTTTTTTTTTTCATTTCGGTTTGGTTTTGAAGTGTTCATTTTGGTGCACCTCTAGTCCTTATCTCATATACATATAGTAGGGCCAATCTAACCAGGAGCCAAGCCGATTAACCTACCAGGTTGGATTGTGGAAAGAAGCTCAAACAAGCACAGGGAGAACATGCAAACTCCATGGAGATAGTGTCTTGACTGGGATTTGAATCAGGGACCCCAATGCTGCAAGGCAGACGTGCTAACCACTATGCCACGTGCTACCTCATTTTTTTAGCAAGCTCAAATACAACTGCACAATGTCAGACTTAAAGTGTAACTCCAGTTTTGTTGCGAGAAAAAACCTCAATCACCTCTGGTTGATCAATGTAAATTGCAGAAATGTTAACAGATTTTGTAGCAGATTCCAACATGTTTCTGTTCTGAAGAAATAGCTGTTAGTTTCACTATGTCCTTTCCAAACTAATTCGGGTTCATTACAACTACCTGGTAAAATCTCAGTGTTGTAATGAGGAAATTTGTATCCTTTTAGCAGTATTTAACCCTTAGGGGGTATATCACCAAAAATGGAACTCCTATTGCAAGGGTTGCCTAAAATGTTCCCTGGTTCTTAGTGCAGACTTCTGGAAAAATCAGTGAGCCAATCATACATGCAGGAAATGACATTTCTGGGGGGTACACTGTTTACCAACATAGAAAGCCTCCAGGGTCCCATATTAAATGTAAACTTGTGAACAGTTTTAGAATATTCCAGCGAATTAGATTGAAATGGAAAGGTGATTTTTAATAACATTAAATTTAAAAATAGCTTTTGTAGCAATTTTATATCTTTTTTTTTTACTTTTTAACAAAAGTGGAGTTTTCCTGTAATGACATTTGGTATTTCAGTTTAGAGAGGTTGCTGGAAACATGAGCAGGTTCCTATTATTTCTTGGAGGATTCATGGAGAGATATCTTCACCATGTTTCTCACCTCTTTGGTAAAGCCCATACAAAGCACAATGAACGGACCATCTATAACAGCGTTTCTTTTGTTCAGACACAGCACCCTTCAAAAGTATGCAAAATCTTGAGACACAGCAGTCTAAAATGTAAAAAAACGACATGTGGCCCTTTTCAAAATCTATACCAGATCTTTATCCCAGATAGGGGTATGGTATGAATTTTAAGGGCGGTCCCATGCAAAAAAAAAACACACGTCAGAGTCTCCCCTTCAAGTCAGGAACCCCCCTATATATCAGAGCTCCACCTTTCACATCAGAATTCCCCTTTACATTAGGAGCCCCCTCATTTTACATCAGAAGCCTGCCTGCACCACGGAAAGGCATGATGCTGAGGCACCCCTGGGGAAGCCACGCACACTGGCTGAGAAAGGCTGATCTATAATGTGAAATGGATTATTGTAAAGTCCAGAGTTGACACCATTAAATTGGCTTTGTTGGCGGGGTAAAGTCACAAATGGAGGGAAATCTCAGCAGGTAAAGAAATCAAGCTCACCAAATCAAAATGAAATATAATTCTGGGTGCAAGTTATTACATTTTAAATACATGGGAACATTATTATGGACTTGCTTGTCAGCAACTGGTTCTATACAACGTGGACAGCAATAAAATAAAATGAGGAGTTGAACCCAGCGCTCAGGTGCGCTATCCAGCCTACGGCTGCTGTGTATTATCCACCAGGGATATATGAAAACAAAAACACCTTAAATACAGCGCCATCAATCATATCTAGATAAAAACTCCCTGAATACAATTGAAATCAGAAAATCTTACTGGATGTGTGATACCCATTAAAATATAAAATACATAAACAACCAAAATAGTAATATGCAGTAAGTGCTCCTGTGTGTACAATGTGAAGAAAACATTAAATCAATACAAACATACAATTCAATCAGGCGGTTTTGGTATTTACTGATATATAAATATAAGAGATGTGACTATGTGACTAGTCAGATTATGGGGGTTCTTTTTTCACCCGTACCCTTATTATATGCATTTTTTACATGTAACCTATAGATTCGGCTTTAGGTAGGCCCTTTTTTTGTCGGCTACTATCCCTCCTGCGGGCCCGCCTCTTCAGGGGAACCGCCCCTTGTATGATCCATATTCCAATCATGCAGGTTGTCCTTTGTAAGCAACTCAAATGATGTTTGAATGTTATTCAGGCTCCATATGATTTGGCATGTTGATAATCTAATATTTGTATATACGAAACATCTCTTTTCAGTCTGTTTGTTTTAAGCCCGCCGGAGGAAGCCTATTGCAGTAGACGAAATGCGTTGAGGAAAACTTGATCTAGTGTGATATATTTATACGCACTGATACAACAGCTCTATATTTCTATATGGGACACAACATGCAGAATTTACAATAGAAAGGGAAACCAGCCTGTTTTTCAATGTCTAGTTTTATATAACAGTGTTTTTTTTATCTACTTTTTAATATGTCTATAATAAAAAATGAAATTGTTTTTTAAATACTTTCTAAGGTCTGTAATGATTGCTTCAAAACCCCTTCTGGGTTTTCTCCAACCAGAAAAAACATTTCTACTACTTATTCCCATATTAAATGGGGTGTTGCCATACAGACCTTTCAGTGCTATAGGCAAATATATTACTTGCTCTATAAATACCTGTAATAAATAAATAAATAAAATTAGACCTGTCAAAATGCAGTTAGTGCCAATTATAAAATTGTGCAAATACCCTTCTGTAATATTGTGCAATTATCCCTCTGTGGTAACAGTTATCAACCAATACAATTCATAAAGTTGTGATAATATGCGTCCGCGGTGAATAAATACCATTCAGCTTATTGTGCAAATGTCCAACCGAGGTACCCAATGGCAAGCAGAAATCAATCTGCAAAGTTGGCCCTAAGACTCCATTCATATATAGCATTTGCCTTTCCTGCACGGTTTTCCATGCGGAAGACCGCAAGGGACGCAACTGCCATATGACAATGCATTAAATTACATTGTTTTTTCTGGTTAGAGCGGCTCTGCGCGTTATCGTACAGCCGAATATGCGCAGACAGCCGCCCCAGTGTAAATGGAGCCTAAATCAGAAATGGCCTTTTCCAACTTCTGGTATAAAAACCTCACTCCTCCGCCTCTGAATCCTGATATTCCCCTTGATTGCTTCACATTAATATAATAAAACTAGAAAAGGACGACTCTCCATAGTGTAAAACCATTAAATATATTAAATGAAAATTAAAAACACAAAGTGCCAAGGAAGGCTTCGATAAAACGTTTATTAAACTCAGTCCAACCAAAGCTAAGTTTTAGTCTTTGGCAAATAATGGAGATTTAAAGAAACCTTGTCACCAACAGAAAAAGCATATGAAAGCACACAGCATCAAGCATTTTATATGCTTACTTAAAGTGTTTTTCCTTTTCATAGATGATTTTTTTTTAATTTGCAATGTATCTTTCAACTTACTAGAACATTGGACAACTCTAGGAAGAGTCAATTCCCTA